GTTGGATTCAAATATCAAAGAGTCGTTTGAGCTCCCACAGGGACTAGCTGCTTTCAGGCACAGCCACTGTTACACATCATGCTCAGGCCACATTAGGCATTAATCACAAGTTAACAATGAAGTGCAGCATCATGTCTCCCAAAAATCTATGGATTACAGCTGAACTAATGTCAACAGTCTGCCCATGCAGTACGTGGCCTTATTCATTTGATTATCAGATCTGCCCCAAATGATGACAATGTTGATGCCGTGGGGTTGTATTACTAAACCACATATGATGTTACCACCAGTAACTACAAATGTTGCCACATGGACTTAAATCTTCCAGAGTGTATCAGCAGCAGGTTTTAATCTGGTTCGACTCAATCGATGTACCGTGCAGGAATCAATATCAAATATAAATCCAGTCCGCTAATTAACATCTCCGCCTCAGCTTCAACTCTCTGTCATGCAAACCGTATCCTGCTATAAGCCTGAGGTGTTCAGCCCCAGTCACTAGTTTGATTCTAATATAAAGTGGCCGTGTGGGAATCAATATCAAATGTGAATCTGTTTCGGTGATAAGTCTGATTCCTGCATGGAGAGTCACCATCGTCTCTGTACTCTCTTGTCAGCGTGCCTCAGCAGCTGCATGCAGTAATATGACACAGACACGGAGAGCGCAATTTAACACACGCTGAAAAGATACTGAGGAAGGAAGAGATACTGATGTGAGGAGAGGAAGAGAAGTTGAGTACAAACTCAGCAATGAACAGAGCGGACGTGCAGACAGAGAGATGTATAACAGCTGACAAACCCCTCGTCCATCACTAAATGATGTTTGTCATTCTTTCAGAGGAAGGAGGAGAGGGAGATGTATTGTCCCAGTGGGAGCTCTGACTGCTACTCCATGATGTCTTTGAGACTAGAGAAAATCCTCTATTCATTCATTCCCACTCTCCTGTGTGTGATCGCTCATGTGTATGTGAGGAACTGATGTGTTCTATCGTGCGTTACAGGCCAAGGTGACCACAACAGAAATTTAAAACCCAAGACAGAATGTTGACACAAAAAAACAAAACCATCTTCTTAAAGGATGAGGATAAGAAAGGCTATGTGAGCCTTGGCTGTAGAGAAGAGGCCAATGAAATGCACAAATCAAAGCAGCGGCAGATTAAAAAGGTTTGTTGCATTTGTAAACAAAAACAGCGTCATAGTTGGGGAATACATCCAACAATCACACATTGAATTGACAGATAATCTAAGAGTTCATTCATAATCATTATTAGATATGTACATGGAAACTGACATGTCCGTACTTATTTTTGTGATATTTACAGACGAAACTGACAAACGACCATGAGGAGGAAATTTCAACCATATTGGAACTTTGCTACTTTGCCCAGAAACAGGGAGAAACAAATGCTTTTGCCTCTTTCTTAAGAGCGACATTATCACAACCTCCTCCACTGTCAGAAACTCAAGTGGAGGTATGTGGGCTGACCCTGTAGAGGCAGCACCAATAAACCTTTAAGCTTCCATCCACCATTTGTGGGGGTCAAAGTTCCAGTTTTGTGACTGGACGTTTCAGATCCATAACATACTACATTTTCTGTTTCTATGCACACAGAGGCTTGTATATCCCCTCTGGTGATGTCAGTGTACAAGCTTCTCTCAAACCTTCATTCTTGGAACTGCATCTGCCTCCACACCCCCATAACAGACACACACACACACACACA